TAGCCATACTGATTTCCCTCTTTGCTTACTTCTTTCTTGTTCCTAGTCTTATGTTGTTATTATTATTGTTACAATGTGAATGAAAGTTTACAAAGAAAATTGGTTTTTCCTTCAGCCCTCATGCATTCTTTTGTGACATTGTCAGTGGACTCACATTGTAACCACATCCTTGCTCGTCCCTCCCTGTGGTTCTTAGTTCCTTTAATCCACTTGCCTCACCAGACCTGCTAGGACCCCACTAGCCTTGCTGTTGTTGCGTTGAGTGGTTGTGGAAACGCACAGGACACAGCATTTCCTAGATCAGCCTGGTTCATGCTGCGTGATCCCATGACACCGATTACATCACATGTAGCCATTGCATGAGCAGACCTTCACTGCCGCCTAATGGCATCCCCTGCTTCCTCCCGCCCACCTGGTAACCACAGTGACCGCGGTCTCCACCTTGACCTGGTCTAGATGTCCCTGCTGGGAGCTCTGGTGGCCTAGTGGGTAAGAAGTTGCGTTATCATCCCAAAGACAAGGGGTCCCTGTCTCCCACTGCTCTGTGGATGATGGGCAGTCTCTGCCTTATTCCAGCATCGCACCTTCAGGGTCCATCTGTGGTAGCATGAGCGAGGACACTTCTCCACGGCTGTGCTCCCTCTGTTCAGAATGGACCACGTGGAGTGTCCACGCCTCTGCTCAGAGACACTTGGGATTGGCTTTTGTGAGGGTGCTGTTGGGAATACGGGGGTGTGACTGTGAATACTGGCGAGTGGATCTGCGACTTGTATACTTCTGGGGTGCCTGTGACCAGCACACTGCCTGCCTGGGAACCACAGCTGGGCAGCCAGAGGACACCCCTCGTGGAGGGTGGTCTTGGCCCCTGCCCCCCCAGTGAAACACCCAGTGGTGTGAGCTGGGGACCAAGGTCCTGGCACAGCAGCTGGCCAGGCCTGCTTCTCACTAGCCGGCCCCTGAAGTCCCCCTGAAGGCCGGCCCCTGAACCCTGATGTCTCCTGCAGGTACAAAGACTACCGAGAGCCCCCGTGGTCCGAGCACAAGTATGACATCTCCAAGGACTTCTGGGCAGTGCTGGCCGCCCGGCTGGCCTTCGTCATCGTCTTCCAGGTAGGGTGGCCGCTGGGTCCCAGGAGGGTGCGGGGCCTCAGGGGAGCATTCCGTGTCCAGAGCAGGGTCCCAATGAGGACCGAGTGGGCAGCGGTCAAGGAACCTCAGCCATGCATGTTTGCTTCCTCATCCGTAGTGGACAGCCCCCCGTGGGAGCGATGAGTGCAGACCCATGGGCCTGTGCTCACCTGCCTCCTGGGTTTCCCTCCCCATCAGGGTCATAACTCACAAAAGAGGCTTTTATTCTGTGGGACAGTGCTGTAGACTGAGCAGACAGGGACAGGCCAGCCGTAGCCGAAGGCAGAATCTCGCATATGATTTTGTTGTTGTTGTTGTTGTGTGTCGTTGAGTCTGACTCAAAGCTGACCCTCCAGTAGATTTTCAGAGGGAACTGCCCATCTTTCTACCAGGGCAGCTGGTGGATTCGAACTGTGTGCCTTTGCCTTGGCAGTGCAGCTCCTCACCAGTAGGTGACCAGAGCTCCCTGCTCTTGTGAAGAGGGAACTCTTCACTATAGATGAGGAAAGTCCTACTCACATTGCTAACAGGAATCCAGGGATGGTTAGTGCCCGGAGATGGCTGGAGAGCTGGCTCAGGCCTCCTGAAGAGTGGTCAGCCGGCCCCTGGTGACCCTCAGGAAGGTCAGGAAGTCACCACAGCCCCCGGTGGCTCTGTGTGTGTCAGAGCAGAGCTGAGCTCTGGGTTCTCTGGCTAGTTGTCCAGGACGCAGTCTCCAGGCCTTTCTGCTGAGACCCCTCACCTTTGGGTACCAGCCAAGGTCACTCACTCATCAGTGCACCCCCAGGAACTCCTTGGGAAAGGCTTGTTGCTGTGAGTTGCCATGGAGTGGACTCTGACCCACAGCAAACTGTGTGCAGAGTACAGCCCCGTGGGGTACCCAGGGCCGGGCCTTCGGGGCACAGGTGGCCAGGCCTGCCTTACCCCCAGGCAAGCAGGTGTAGTTCAGCGTAGGTGTTCTTCATGGAGAGGGTGGGGTCCGCCATTGTGTCTACTCTGTCAGAGACATGGAGAAAGGGAGGCCTCCCAGTTCCTGTCCTCATCTCTATGTAGCCAGAAACGTGTCTTCAGTGGGCAGGGACAGGTGGACAGTGGACAGGACAGGTTTGCAGGGAGCAGGGTCAGGTGGAAAGATGAGGAGTGGACAGGGCCAGGTGGGTAGGTAGACAGTGCGTAGGGCCAGGTGGATAAATGTGCAGTGGGCAGGGCCCACAGGACAGGGAGCAGTGGGCATGTCAAGTCCAGGTGACTCAACAGTACTTCACTCTGGCCTAATTAACAGCCCAAGACCTGGTCCACTAAGCCAGGCTCTAAAAGTGGACAGAGGTCACTCTCTTTAGGCCAGTGGGGTTCTCAGTGGGGAAAGACCCAGCCTGGGGACCTGGCTGGTGCCATGTTGGTGGGCTCCCACATAGAAGGAGAGGACTTACCTATTAGAGGGGCGTGGTTGTCCAGAGTTACTAAGACTCTGATAAAGTTGATGCAGTTCCCCAGCTACTGGCCTGTCTACTCCAGGAAGGTAATTGGCTATAGCACTGAAATCAGGGTCCTAAGTCATGGTTTCAAGTCCCAGTCCTGCCACTTCATGGGGAAGGCACGTCTCAGAGCTCACCTTCCTCATGTGTCAGCTTCCTCTCACGCTCTGCAGCTGGTGC